TAACTCCTTCAAGTGGGTGAGGCGACCAAGGCACTCCTCTGGAAAGCTTCTCAGTTCTTTGCAATTAATGATTTCAAGAACAGTGAGAGAACCTAATTCCCCAATATTTTCTGGGATGCTCTTCAATTTGTTGCAATCTTCAATCCTTAGAGTAGCAAGAGAAGAGAGATTACCCAACCCCTCTGGTAAAGCTACCATGCCACTGAAGTTCCGTAACACCAATTCCTTGAGGGTAGTGAGATGTTGCAACTGATGTGGCAAAGACTTGAGCTTATCCCATCCATACAATTGCAGTGTTTCAAGAGAGGCATGAAGGTGATGAATGGAAGTGAGTCCTGGGAATTCTTCCAACCCCGAGTAGAAGGGACCCATCTCCAACCTTTTCAAGTGGGTGAAGTATCCAAGGCACTCCTCCGGAAAGCTCAACAGCTTTTCGCAATTATAAACAGACAAATCAGAAAGCGAATGCAATCTTCCAATATCTTCCACAATAGAAGTTAGATTGGAACAATACCGAATGGACAAACTCTGGAGAGAGATGCAAGTTCCCAACCCACTCGGTAGACAAAATAAATTTTCACAACTATAAATAGATAATCTTTTAAGAGAGAGCAGCCCATCTATGTTTGGGATAGCCATCACATTCGGACAATAGTACATCTGCAGATCAGAGAGCTTGCGCTGAGATGAAAATCCACCCGTCGACCAAGTTTTCAAGCTAGGACAATTGTAAATTTGCAATATCTCAAGGCGAGGAAACACAACAATGTCTTCTATTTCTGCCCATTCCTCTAGGCTGTCCATGTTGTATATACGGAGTTCTTTCAAAGCCGGGAAAAGTGTGATTAATTCACCCCCACCACGGCTACTACTCACTGTGGTGCTCCCGTTGAGATAGAGCTTACTGCCCAAATATTTCACCGTCGTCATACCATTTATTACAAGAACCTGGAGACTAGGCAATAATCCCAAACAATTGGGAACATTTGTGCATTCACTACAATTATATAATCTCAATTCCAACAGATTGTTGAGCAGAGATGAATTACCGGATAAATTGACACCCCTATCCAACCATGATGGAAATTTCTCTCCCTTGTAACCATAAATCTCTAAGCTTCTCAAATTTGAGTGAGGTTGAAGGCCTTCCAAAACCTCGGCATGATGGTTGGAGCCTTCTTCGTTCCAATCCATTCAAATTTCAACTCGTATAATTTGGTCTTCTGTTTCAAGTTTGCTTTACTGGCCTCTGATTGAGATCTAACAAACTCAAGGTAACATATTCTCAATGCTCCCCTGAGTTGACTTAAGGGTCCAAGCTCATCAATCCGATATCCCTTTTCTCTTCCCACAGCAAATAATGGTAAGGTTTGAAGGGAAGTTAAATGCCCAATCTCTCTTGGCATAAGGTTGGGGTCATCAAAATAAAAATGTTTTAAGCTGATCAGATTTCTCAATTCATCAGGAAGCTTTTGAAGATGATAACAATCAATAAGTTTTAAGGTTTGCAAACTATACAATTTGGTGAAAGATTTTGGTAGTGCTTTGATTTTAGTTTTTGAGACATCAAGGTATCTCAAATGCTTCAATTTGCCCAGAGAAGCTGGCAATTTATCAACATATGCTTCTTTCAAACTTAAAGAGCGTATGCTCTTAAGATCCCGTGACATGTTGCAAAAATCAACCTCCGAGAACAATGAATGCAACTTTGGAGCAACACCTCTCAAAATAGTTGGATCCACTTGTGCACCAGATAGGATCCTCAAATGTCGAATGCAAGAATTTTCATCAATGGAACCATTCTTCAAAATCAGTGTTTCATTTCTCGAAACAGACACTGCAAGGTCATGCACTACATCGTGCATCTTGTAGGTGTTGATGTTCCCATATATATCTCTTTTTACATCTTGGAACAAGGAGTTACATAACAAGTCATTGAAGTACTTGTTACCAATATCTTCCATTGTTTCCTGACTAGATGGATTAAGAAATCCTTGAGCCATCCAAAGCTGAACTAATTCATCCTTTTCAATATCAAAATCTTTTGGGAAAATGGAACAATAAGAAAAGCATTTCTTCAAATGTGAGGACAAATGATAAAAACTTAGTTTAAGTATAGATAAAATCTGATCATCACCATATTCTGAATCCCAGACAATTCTATCCTTTAGAAACAACCATCCATCTATTCCCACTGAAACACACATTGTTCCTCCTAAAACATTTGCAATCAATGGCAGGCCTCCACATTTTTTTGCAATATCCCTACCAATTGCCTCTAACTGCTGATCAGCTATGGATGCTTCTGTAGATCCAAAAACCTTTTCCTTTATTATCAACCAACACTCATCATCTAGTAGCTTTTGTACATGATGCTGATGCAAAGTAAGAAATTTTGCCATGGATGATGCCACCCCTTCCTTACGAGTGGTTACAAAAATGGAGTTCCCACCAGTTTTCACAATTTTTGACACACGGCTGACAAAAGCAGCCCAGGTGTTGGAATCTTCATTCCACACATCATCAAGAACAAGAAGAAAAGTTTTCTTTTCTAACTTTTCTTCCAGTTGTTTGAGCAAAACATTCATATTATCTATTCCACCAGCATTATGGTCAAGATGTCTCAACATCCCATTTAAAATTTTTAGTTCATCAAAATCATCAGAAACGCACACCCATGCTACTACATCAAACATGTTTCTCTGTTCTACTTCTTTGCATAGAAATTTTGCTAAGGTTGTCTTCCCAATTCCTGCCATGCCGATCAAAGAAATGCCAGAGATGGAATACTGCCCCCTTAGTTCAGTTAACAAGTTAACAATTTCTAAGACATCCTTATCCCTCCCTTCAACTTTTGACTCTGTATAGGAGTCAGTTTCAGGTCGGCGTCGACCAACCTGAGGGTTTTGGATGCTAATAAGAAGAGGAAAAACTACATGTCCTCTTACTTCAGCGAGAGACTTATTAATCTTCTTAATTTTATTAGCCATTTTGAGACGAAACAAAATGGAGTTGGAGCCAGTAAAGAACCTGCTACACACCTGTTTCGTCATTTGGTCTCGAGTCTCTACTTTCATCTGGAGAAGCTTATAAGCATACTCATCCAATACATCCACAGCATCATAGGCTACATCTCTGAGCTTGTGCAGCCAACTCCTTACAACCAGATCACTTTCCTGTCTATCCTCTGCAACATGGAGAACACCTTGAATTGTACGTAGGGACTCTTCAAGTCTTGCCAGCTCCTTCTTGAAACCCCATGCAAGGCAGATTTGTTCCCCAGCAAAGGAAATCACCTTGGAAACAGCCTCTTGTATAACAGGACTGAGGATGGTGTCAGCCATTTTGCCTGGGTGTTGAGAAAACTTAGATGCGACTGCACAATGAAACTGTGAGACAAGAAAATGGTGTTGAGAGAGCAGATATCAGGACAACAACTTTCTTTTAGCTAGAATGAAGATAATTAAATTCAGTAACTTTGAATTTGAATGCTTTGGTGGGAGGATTAGTACTGGAGTTAATGCATTCTCTTTTCTTGTTTCTTTTTCTTTTCTTTAACCGAGCACCATGATTAGGGAATTTTACTTTTTCTTGAAGTGGGACAATCTGACATCTTAATGTTGTTAGATGAAGGAATTGAACCCCAGACTTCTCATGGCCTTTTGAGTGCTGTTTACCAAACCAGCCCAAGCTGAAGGTACATACAGCATATATATCCTCACTTAATGTTGAAAATTTGTATTAATACTCAATTATAATTTAGTTAAAGACATTGATGATATTAGTAATTCAAACTGTTCCGCAATCCCACTTCATTTTGAAGACATGAAGATTAAATAACAATAACTGTTGCGAGTTTTTGGACCCGAATCAAGCGTCAAGACCATGTTTGAAACCAGCAAAGTGCACAAATAGTGCAATTATAATTTCAATTGAAATAAAAAACTACAACGCTTTGGGCCCCTTAAATATTAAAAAAATTAAATTAAATTAAAAACTGCGATATATATGCTAATTATTAAGTAAAAAAGGGCAAACTTAAACCTTATTATTAATTATATTGTGCGTGGTTTATCGCCTACACTCACCCTCTTTTCTTCTTTCTTTTCAAAATATAACTTCACCTTCTAACACCTTTCATAATAATAGATTTTTTATTTCTTTCATTGGGATGTTCTTTGACAGTTATTGATTGTTGTAACTGCTAATTGTTTTTAGTTTATGATTTTTAATTATTGATTATTTCATTTTTAATATTTTTAACTGTAATTACTAATTGATCATGCTATTTGATTTCTAATTTTCTTGTGGGAGAGATTTTAGTTTTTTAATTAGTTCTTACATGTGAGGAAAAATCATTATTATTATTATTATTTTGATGAAGAGGAAAAATCATTATTAATTTCCAGTTATTTGTGAGTTTATATTAAGTCATCCTTTTGTCTTGTTTTATACATATTCTATAATTATTTGGCAATTGTGCCAACAAATGTTTTAGTCTTGAGTTTAAACTTTATTATTATAGAATTTTTTAACATGTACTCCTAGAGCACATTTAAGAATGCATTTATTACACTTTTTTTATCATTAATTTGCATAAAAAACTAAAAGTTGACCATCCAATTAAATTGTTTCATGTGCCATTGGTGTTGAAAATAACATTTATTTTCATATTATCATTCTTATATTAGTCCCCAACAATGCAAATCTAGATTTGTAAACTGAATTAGATGTAAATGTTTGCCTATTTTCCGAATAACTTGAACTACTATTTATGAACTAATTTACAAGACTGATGCATTGTTCCAAGTATATGCATATCTAATTTGAGTCATATGGAGGTTATTGATCTAAGCAAACAATTAGACACCTATTATTCTCTTATTGAACAACTATTGTGTTGTTATTGCGTACCATGCAGTCGGGTAAAGCCTTAATTGGCTGGTCCTGGGGTAATGTGATGAACATACTCCACAGCCGTTTTAGAAATTAAAGTTACTTCATGAGTAGATGAGTCCTTATTTAAGCTCATTGGGATTGTTCTATTAAATATCTATGGCATTTTTGTGAAGTAAAGCCCCTAATTTTACCATATCAGTCATGTCTATGCCTTCTGTGACCTCATGTAAAACTACTATGTACATTTTGATTAAACTAAATTTCAATTGTAGCTTGGTCTATAACATCTACTTATTGGGATTTACTTCATAATATCAATTACCACTTCTGTACAGATTGGCCCTGTTTAACTGGAATTTTTTTATTTAAACATTTCAAACTTTATAAGGCAACTATTCTTTTTTTTTTTTTGAAAGGCATTATAAGGCAACTATTCTGCTAAAATGCCTTGTGCTTTATGCTCATTTGCCAAATTGTGTTGAATTAATACTTGACTATTTTATGTAAGGATTTCCTATCAATATTCTTTTAAGTTATCAATTTCTCCGAAGTCTAAACTCCTTCTGCTTTACCTACAAAACCTTCTAAAAGAAGAATTTCAGGCTGTGTCTCCACCAAATACATGCATACATGCATGCATGCAGCTGAGTTTTTGGTTTTTAGCCATGGCCAATGGCCATCCTGGCCACTTGAAGAGGTGGCACTTTTGACTTAAGCCTCTAGCAAAATACAAAAGAATTTCCAAAGAACTTTGAAGCAAAATTCAAAAAATGAGCAAAATACTTGGTGATCACTTACCAGATCTGATATGCTTAGCCAAACAGAAGGATAGCGAACTCAAGAGAATCTCCTAGGAGACAAAAAAGAGATAATTAATGCTTGTGAGAATTCATTGAAGCTTTGAGACCAAAGCCGAGTAATGAGCAAAATACCTGGTGATCACTTACAAGATCTGAAATGCTTCGCCAGTAGCCACCAACAAAGAAGGACAACAAACACGAGAGAATTCTTCTGAGAGAAAAGATGCGATAGAAGACTCATCAGAGTTGACCAAATACACCATATACACATAGCATATATGACATGATGGCTTTAATATGAAAGTTTGACTGCACTGCTTTCTTGTTTTGTTTGTGCTTCTACTTTCTTGGAAGCCACTACGGTTGTTTTGAAAGTTCGTTTGTTTTGAAAGTTTGTTGGGCAATAGCATTGGG